CAGCCCAGGGGCACTTCATCCCATATCCTGCAGGGGATACATTATTTGGCTCTCTAGTGCTTAGGATTTTCCAAATGACCACATGACTTCAAATCAGCTTTGGTTTATTTTGAAACACGGCTCCCTTCCAAACACTCCTCGTCCCAGTTGTCCAAAAGGGACGCCTGCAGAGTTGGAAGCGTGGCTCCTTTCTTTGTCACAGTGTTGCTGGTAACTCCTGTTTATTTTTCCTTTCTTCTTTGTGTTTTTTCCCATTAACTTAAAAAATATTAAGCCAACGTTTTTAAATTTGTGTGTAATGTCTTTAAGATATTTTCTTGGTCTCCAAGACTAGGATGAAGGTGAGAGGAGAGCTCGAAGGAGGAAATCTCTTGCCTGTGTAAGTGCTTACCTACAAAGAACAGGAAGATTTCTCTAAAGCTATTGCTTGAGAGAAAAAGAAGCTATGGTCAATCATGCACTTGAGGGAAAAGTTTTTGCCTTTAAAGACATGAGTCCACCAGTGCCCCAAGCCACATGCTGAGTGACCCCTTTGAGAGTGTTTAACTCCTGCCACCTGCCTGGTCTTTTGTTCCTAGCAATCAACTCCAGATAGAGGAAAAATGTTTATCTAGGCCAAAGATTTCTCAAGTCAGGGTATTTAGGGACAGAAAGAGATCATCAGGTGAGTTTAAGAGGGTGATTGCTGCCCTTAGAATCAGGAGAATTGGTCATCCCATTAGTGGGTTTGTTTCTCTAATCCAGTCTAAGTTATCAAAATTCAATTATTGATACAAAAGTGAAAGTGAAATTCGCTCAGTTGTGTCTGACTCTTTGCGACCCCGTGGAGTATACAGTCCATGGAATTCTCCAGGCCAGAATACTGCAGTGGTAGCCTTTCCCTTCTCCAGGGTATCTTCCCAACTCAGGGATCGAACCCAGGTTTCCCACGTTGCAGGCGAATTCTTTACCAGCTGAGCCACAAAGGAATTTTATAAATATCTACACATGGCAATCAGCCGACTCTTTGGTGCAAAAGGATGGTAATTAGTGCTCCAGATAAAACAAGGAAATAAAGGCAGAGCTCAGTTTAGAGTCAAGGAATGTTATAAGAGAGGGTTGGTGAGAAGACTGTCTGGTTTTCTTACTCCTTATTCTACTTTTGGGCTTCCCTCGTAGCTCAGTCAGGAAGAATCTGCCTGCAGTGCAGGAGACCCAGGTTCGGTTTCTGGGTTGGGGAGATCCCCTGGAGAAGGAAATGGCAACCCACTCCAGTATTCTTGCCTGGAGAATCCCATGGACAGAGAAGCCTGGCAGGCCACAGTCCATGGGGTCACAAGAGTCGGACAGGACTTAGCAACTAAACAATGAGACAATTCTACTCCTGCTCCTACTCCTAGGAAAAGAAAGCCAAATTGGTGTTTCCAGCATTCCATTCAGAGGAACTGAAGTGAGGAAGGGGATGGGTGGTCAAGCCTGGAGTCAGGAGAGAACTGGTGATAGTGGAGAGGTTAAGAGTGATGGTGCGTAGTAGAGGAGGGGGAAGAAGGGACATAGGAAAGGGAACAAAGGTGGCTGGGGGCTGGCTGACCCCTCATTTTTATAGCTCATATACACGAATATTTAGAAGTTATAAATCTAATGCATGGTTAATAAAATGGTTGTATCCTTCAGTTTTCTGAGGGGGATATCCTCATAATGACCTGGAAGTCTAGATTAAAAAAAAAATTAACCTTATTAAATCATGACAACTGAGTACACGTCCTTATTTGTATTTATTCATTTATTTATTTGGCTGGGCTGCACAGCATGCAGGATCTTAGTTCCCTGACCAGGGATCGAACCTGCGCCCTCTGCAGCAGAAGCGTGATGTCACAACCACTGGATCACCAGGGAAGCCCCAGAAGGCTGACTGCATGTTGGGTCATCAGTTCAAAGATACTTGCCAGGATGTTGTGGCACGCCGCCAGGCTCAGGCCCCCCTGTGCTTTCCACCCTGCTGCCCCCTGCGCCAAGAGGGGTCTTAGATGCACACACACAGATGCCCTGCCTCATGTGCAGCCTCAGTCACACCCTCCACATCCCGACTCCCTGAAAAATAAGCATCTCTAGGCTCAGAGGGTAAAGAATTCGCCTGCAGTGCAGGAGACCAGGGTTCGATCCCCGGGTCAGGAAGATCCCCTGGAGAAGGAAATGGCAACTCACTCCAGTATTCTTGCCTGGAGAATCCCATGGATGGAGCCCGTGAGGATCACAAAGAGACGGACTCCATTGAGTGACTTCACTTCACTAGGCCGCCCACTGTGCCTCAGGATATATATGCTGGTCACTTCATTCTTCCTTGGGGGTAGAAAAGGAAAAGGCCCACAAAGTCCTTAAAACTGGATCTGGGTGCAGGCTACAGGAAGGGAGGAAGGTTTGTAAGGCTTTAGGTGTGCATGCCCCCTTGGGTCTATGGTCTATGGCCTCCCTGCTTTGTGGAGGAAGATACGGCTGGAGGAGGGTCAGAGGGAGAGGCTTGAGCATAGAGGGTCCTCTTGCCCAGGTTCAAGTCTAATACTAAGTGGTAGAACTGTCCAGTCTCCCCACAAAGAACATCTGTAAAAGTAGCAGGTAAAGGGAATTCTGTGCTGGTCCAGTGATTAGGACACAGTGCTTTCACTGCCAGAGGCCTGGGTTCTGTCCCTGGTCAGGAAACTAAGGTTCTGCAAGCAGATGGTGTGGCCAAAAAAAAAAAATATATATATATATGTGTGTGTGTGTATATATATATATATATATATATATAGCAGGTAAATAGCCAAGCTCTGGCCTTGGAGGTCAAAAGACCCAGGCCCACACTTGTCAGGAAGCTTCCATGTCACTTGTCCTTGTCTGGACTATACTGGGTTGGACCATGGGCATCTCTGCCATCACCAGTGTAACCTGAAGACCAGAGGCCTTTCCTTCTCTCCATCTTCTAGGCACCGAGAAAGAGTCAGTTCACCCAGACCCAGAGGAAGACAAAGAGATCTTCTCAATCTCTCTGGCTAGTGGGGAGATTAGAGTCATATTTGATTTAGAAAAATAAAATTCTGTGGCATGTCCTGCATGCCATCCTAATGTGATATATACATTGATAATAACAATTACCTAAATACATTATTTGACTTCTGAATCCTTATAGTATTCTCTTACACCTACAGTCTTCCCTGTTTATATGTTTCCCTTTGATTACCTGTCTTGTACATTATAAATTTCCTGAAGGCAGGAAGTGGCTTATTTCTCATTGAATTCCTAGCTGAGTCCAAAACAGTGCCATGCACACATCAGACATTCAAAAACTCATTCATTGAGCTAATGAGAATGTTTCAGGTATCAATTTAAATATGAGTGGTTAAGCAGTATAGTACTGACACAAATACAGAAATATAGATCAGTGGAACAGAATAGAAAGCCCAGAAATAAGCTCATGCACTTATGGTCAATTAATCTATGACAAAGGAGGCAAGACTATACAATGCAGAAAAGACAGTCTCTTCAATGAGAAGTGCTGGGAAAACTAGCAAGCTATATGTACAAGAATGAAATTAGTACATTTTCTAATACCATACACAAAAATAAATTCAAAATGGATCAAAGACCTAAATATAAGACTGGGCACTATAGGCAGAACACATTGTTGACATAAATAGCAGCAATATCTTCTTTGACCCACCTCCTAGAGTAATGAATTTACATTAAAATTAAAATTTCATTTTAATGAAGTTAAAAACAAAAATAAATGGGCCCTAATTAAACTTAAAAGCTTCAGCATAGTAAAGGAAACCATAAACCAAATGAAAGCCAACCCACAGAATGGGGGGAAATACTTGCATATGAAGTGACCGACAAGGGATTCATGTCCAAAATATTCAAACAGCTCATGCATCTCAACATCAACAAACAAATAACCCAATAAAAAATGGGCAGAAGATCTAGACATTTCTCCAAAGAAGACATACAAATGGCTAACAAGCACATAATAGGATGCTCAATATCACTAATTATCAGAGAAATAAATGCAAATCAAAACTGTAAGAAGGTATTGTCTTAAACCAGTTAGAATAACCATCATCAAAAAGTCCACAAACCATAAATGCTGGGGAGGGTGTGGAGAAAAAGGAACCCTCTTACACTGTTGGTAGGAATGTAAATTGGTCCAACCACTATGGAGAACAGTAAGGAGGTTCCTTAAAAAACTGAAAATAGAACTATCATATGATCCAGCAATCCCACTCCTGGATACATATCTGAGCATGCCCCCTAATGTTCTTTACAGCATTATTTGCAATAGCCAAGACATAGAAGGAAACTAAATTTCCATCAACAGAGAAATGGATAAAGAAGTTGTGGTATATACATGCAATGGAATATTACTCAGCTACAAAAAGGATAAAATAATGCTATTTGCAGCAACATGGATGGGCCTAGTAATTATCATACCAAGTTAAGTAAATAAGACAAAGACAAATATCATATGGTATGACATGCATGTGGAATCTAATTTTAAAAATGATACAAGTGAACTATTTACAAAACAGATATAGACTTACAGATATCAAAACCAAACGTATGATTATCCAAAGGGAACTATCAGCAGGGTGTGGGGAGGGATCAGTCAGGCATTTGGGATTAACATACACACCATATGTATACAAGAAGGATAATCAGCAAGGACCTACTACATAGCACAGGGAATTTTACTCTATATTCTGTGGTAATATATATGAGAGAAGAATCTGAAAAAGAATAAATATGTGTATATATATAACAATCACTTTGCTATACACCTGAAACTAATACAACATTATAAATCACTATACTCCAATAAAATTAAAATAAAACTGAAAGTGAGTGATTAAGGATATATTGCCTTATTCCAATGTTTCTTGGAACTAGTAAGGTTTTTTCCTATTTCTTCATTAATCTAGATGAAAACATTCATCAAGCTTTCTTTTAAAGTGAGTAAATAGAAAAATAAAAATAAAGTGAGTCAATAGTGTAATTCTTTAAAAAATTTTAATGAATGTTTCATTTCCCAAAAGAATTGTTCATAAATTCCTGTGGCATATCATTTTTCTTTAATGGAAATTTAAACAAACTTATTTAATGGAATTTAAACAAATTTAATGGAAATTTAAACAAACTTATAGGAAAGTTAATAGCAATGACAGCTGCTGATACTCTGTTCTTTGCAATTTCAAAATGGACGTTTTCTTCCTTATGGGAACTTTGCAGTGTATAAGTACTCTTAACATGAGGAGATACTGTATGTAGAAAACAGTAACAATGTGGTACCTTACTCCCCCTCTACTCCACTCCCCGAAGTGAAACTTTCTCTGCAGTATCAGGAAAGCGAAGGACATTGTTTATAATACAAGTGTTTCTTGGCATCTAGAATTGGAAAAGGCTTTCATCAGTTTGAACAGATGCCATTAGCAAACTCTAAATCTGTAACTGCTCTGTAGTCTACAACATCTCTCCATCACTGTGATGAGGTATTTTGGCAGGAACTCTGGTGGATTTGGCCAGGATGCTGTGCCAGAGACATGATTTGGGTCAGGCCTGAGTTTGGTAGCATCCTGACTCCTAGCCTATGTCCTTAGGCCTGTCTGATCATGCAACCCCAAACACATAAACGAATACTGTATTGTTTCATCATAAATAGTTCAGATTTATTGTACCACTTATTGAATACATTTTCCCTTCTGTTGAGAAAACTTGTCTGAAAGACTTCAAGAATGTCTTGTAGTGAATTTAAATGGGGAAAAGAGGTACAGATCCACTGGAGTTAAGTAGGGTTGTGGGAAATAAACAATTCTTCTTTGCTTAGAAAAATTTCTTAGATCCAGAGAAAGATGGGTTTTAAGATTACATTGCTGTTTATTGTATATATATATATATATATATATTTTTTTTTTTACTCTAAGGAAAAAAAAAGCTTTCAGGGTCTATTATGTTAAGCTAAAATAACTGTTTCTGCTTATTCTATAGCTTTCATTTTTTGGAAAGTACAGTGATCAAGCAAAGACAACAATGACCAAAATGCTAACTTCAAATGAGATTTTGTTTGCAATTTTTAATTAAGCAATCCGTGCAAACATTTTTTTTTTTCTTCAGCATCAGGAGGAAAAAAAACGACCACACTTGGGAGCCTGGTGGAAAAACAGAAATGCTTTCTCATTGCAACCCGATTTCAAAGCAGTGGCGTGCAGAGAGGCAGTGCCCAGGCCCTTAGTATTCCTCAGGGCTGCTTGAGTGCAAGTCTCGCAAATATGAATCAATTATGTTAGGAGGCACACCTTGCAAGAGGAGCCTGCAGAAGGAAAGACCACCTAGAAAGGATAAGAAGGAAAAAGCAAAGTCAAAACTGTCTACACGTGAAAAATCCCTGAAACAAGACCTTTTCACTAGCTGCCTGCAAATGTGACTAATTATGTTTCAGTTAGTTACAAAGATTCATTCAGTCCCTACTTGGAAATCTTCTCTTGGGTTTAGTACATTTAGAATCTAAAACACTCCGCATTGAGAAGGAAAAGCAAGTTCCCTGCAGACGCATAGCAGTTTTTTGTTCCCTACTATTATTTGTTCGTTTTAAATTCCTAACTAGTTGGAGAGTGTTTATTGCCCTTTGCAAGGTTTTGAGATTCCTCTATAGAATGATTTCAGTGTTCTGCCTGAATGGCAGAATAAATGCAAATCGTGTTATGAGTCAGTAGGAAGAACCTTTTCCAGTTTGTTAATGTTCTTTTTAATTAAGCACAGAGTTCCCATTCAAGCACATGGGAGAAGAAAAAAGGGACTACTCTTTTAACTTTGGCTATTCACACACTGTCAAAAGAGCAAAAATTGAAAATATAGTAAAATCTGTCCAAGAGTAAAATCTGTAAAATAATAAAATTAAAAATTAAAAAATTAGTAAAATAGTAAAGTCTGTCCAGTACCTCTGAAGGTGAGAGAAACACCTCTTAATATTTCATACTTACCCTCCATGGTTCTGAATTGCATTTTAAAACTAAAAGTACCTTTCATGAGAGGCCCCATGAAACCACAAAAATTCATGGTCCTTTAGAAAAGTGTTTTACTACTTGCTAATAAATTCACGTCCAGACAAAAACAGCATGCCATTTGAACATTCTTAAAACTCCTTTAATGCAAATTTGGGAAAATCATTCTCCTTTTTTTTAAAAAAAATCAAGTCACATATTGGTAGAAATGATGCCACTTATGTACATGTCCATTCCTTGATGCAAAGCGTTCAGAATGCTTGGGTATCACTCATTTTCATCTACATTAAATGCTTTAATTCATGCTCTACTGCATTCAACAACTCGCTTCATGTCAACAGAAGACTGTTGTGATGAATAAGTACTAGCCGTTAATGTCAAGATACTGAAATACACATTACAACTACAATGTTAGAGATTTTAAAGAGTCTATTTTCATTGGATTACATAATGAAAATCATGCCATACTCCACAGGCTTTGTATGGCTTATGACAGTCATAAGCTTCATATGCCAAAACCATATGAAAGCTTACCTTAGATGATAATATACATTCAAAAATCCTTACTGTGCTACAACTAAGGAAAAGAGAGAGAAAGAGAGAGAGACGTTGTAAGCATTAATAAAGTGCTAAAACCAAAGTTGAGTACTTGTTGGAGGAAATTATGGTCATGATTATGATGAGGTGATTTCATTAATCCTTAGTCAGGTGAAAAGTATAGGAAAATAGAAGCGCATGGAATGAAGGGCAGGGATCCAGTCACTTCAAAAGGATCATTAATAGGTAAAACATTTATTAATAGGCACAACCACTTTGCCTGAACAGGTGGCAAAGCCAGTTTGACTGTAATGTGAATAATTATAGGAACAGCTTCCAAACCATTAGCTAAAAAAAAAAAAACAACCCTACAACATATATATATTGTGTTTTTCAACAAAAGAAAAACAGGGACAATAGACAAAGCATTAGTGTACATATATATATGTTGAAATTCTAAAAGGCAAAATTATCAAGTGGATTTAAAAATTAAACTATAACACTGTATTCTGAACTGACTATATATTGGTTTGGCCAAAAAGTTCATTGGGTTTTTCCATAACAGCTTAGGGAAAAATCTGAACAAACTTGTTGGCTAACCCAATATGACTGCTCTAAATAAACACAAGGCTTAAAAAAAAAAAAAAAAAAAAACAGGCTAGAAAGTGACTATATGTGCAATCTACCAAACTTTAAAGAAAGAATCCTAATTCTTTCCTCTTTTGAAAGCTGACGTCTCTAGGAATTCAGAAAGCTAACATTGTAAACTGAGGCATGGGTCTACATCACTAGAGTTTACATCAGGCTGCTCATCTAGCACTGAAGAACTCCTTAATTCACTCTTCCAAATGGGGCTCAATCTATATATAAACAGCAGAACCCATTTACTACTTAATATATAAGTAACGGGGTCTAGAATTTTCTTTCCTAAGTTCATGAATATATGAAATAATCTTGGCCCCATGAAAATACACAAAATGTTCAACAGATAGATGGATTACAGATACTCTACTAGTATCTACAAGTTTTCATTGGACAATCTTAAATATGGAAGTTTGCAAATATTGGATCCTAATATTCCAAACATTTTTTATTTGTGTCCTCTCCCCATCACAAATACACAGAACACTTTTTCTACAGCCTAGTAACAAAAATGTTCAATTTTCTGAGCTTCAACATGAATCTAACAAACCTACACTGGATGCCATCTTAAAGGAAGAACATATCTCTCTGCACTTGAAAATGAAAGTATTAAAGAAACGTCATTGGTTCCTGAATTCTGGTACTCTTATATCTAAAATGAGGACATCATCTAATGTGGCTTTTGGGCTTTATTTCTGGGAACCTGTGGTACGGTACTTGGTTTTCTGACAAAACATATTCCTACATTACTTAATATCCTTGAATAATTTGGCCTTCCTTGTTCATGGCATAACCACTGTATGCCATGAGCTGCTAAGAAATATAATTAAAAGCAAAAGAGAAAGACAAGCTTTACATGCAAAGTGCGATTTCATGTAAGAGGAATGGAACAGAAGGAAGAAATATCCAGTGGGATATGAACTTGTAAAACCTGTTGCTGCCCCTCCAGGAAGACTGGTTGTCCAGGGGAATTTACTCCTTGATATATCACTGCAGAATTAGAATATTTGCACCAGTATTTATTTATTCTCAGTTGACATTCTTACCTTTTTTTTTTTTCACAGCTTAATTTGATTCAAGTCACGTATTATCAGATAACAAATCTGATGACAAACAATCTTGGCTTTACTTTTAGGACCAAAAGCTTTTACCAATATATCACAGTTGATAGCTTATTATGAATTTATATACTAGATTACATTATTTATGTTACAATTTATTATACAATTATCATAAAATATAGCATTTATAGATGCATAAAATTATTCACTTATGGAGGACCCCAAATGTTGAACCATTTATGAAACCATCATTTTATATCATTAGCAACATTCAGCTATTTTCAGAGCATGCAAATATAGTCTTGGGTTTTTGATTTTTGAGTTCTTGTTTTTGGGTGTTGGAATGTAAGTAGCAACAATACCTTGGAACTAATTAGGAGTTTAGAAATCAGATGTGTTTGCAATGTGACCTTCATTTGCATTTAAAGCTAATAAATAGCTAAAAGAACAACATTTAAATTTGTATCCACTATCTCAATAGAAAGGGTTAAAATTTTCTCAGTATATTATATGTTTTACATTTGAGAGGAAAAAAATATTTTTAATTTCTATCAGTTGTGCATCTACTCTCCTGTATTATCTGAGGATGGACAAAAATCATAAGAGAAAGAACACTGATTTTTTTAAAGTTAGAGAAGGAAAAAAATGTTTCAAGAAGTTTTTCCACTATATTTGCACTAGATTTAGGAATTTAAAAACTCTTTCATTGTTGTTGCTATTATTTACATAAATAACTTAAACATTTACTATCATTTTTTCTAAAATAGATACTTATAAAGTCATATCTGACTTTTAGATTATAATTTCTCCATTATAAAGATGGAGAAAAAGTAAAGACTTTGATTGTTATAAAGCGGCAATATAATACAAGAACGAAAGAAAAGACATAAGCATCATGTCACCCATTAACTCCTAACAGTGACTCTGACAGGTGTAGGAGTCTTCATGGTGTCCCCAAATAGGTACTGATTGTCAAGAAAAAATTTCCGCATAAAACTTATCCTCAATTAATATGAAAATTGATTAAGATGACAATTACACTGAGACTTTTCTACGACATCAATTTTTATGTCCTTTCTTGGTTTACATTAGTTGCAACACTTCTGAAAACTAGTACAAATGAAATGTATACCTCCAAATGGAAATCCTTTAGTGAGATTTTAAAAGAAGTGGGTTATGTGTATGCTGAATTCTACATTTGGAGAAGGAAATGGCAACCCACTCCAGTATTCTTGCCTAGAGAATCCCATGGACAGAGGAACCTGGTGGGCTACAGTCCATGGGATCTTAAAGAGTCGGACACGACTGAAGCGACAGAGCATGCACATTTGTAATATTAAATACTAAATTAGGAAATTTACATATATAGAAAGTTTCACAAAGATAGTAAACTAGTTAAAAATAGTGTAAATTCCTTAATTGCGGTTTTATCAGTGAGTTTTTACATTTATCTAAGATGGACTACATCACGAAAGTAATACCCCTTGACTTGAGTCATTGTTACCATGCTGTGCACATAACACAATTCACTGAAATTAATAGTCCTTTAGATAACAAGAGTTGCAAGAGATGAAAATAAGTCTACTTAAAAAATCAAGTAGCCATCACAAATAAAGTGAATGCAGAATGTAAAAATGTCCTCTACCCGGGTCTTATCCCCTCCTTCCTAGCCTATCCCCAAAATGCTAGCATGCAATTTGGATTAGCAATTAAATGATTTTCTTTCATTTAGGACTACACAAGATCTGGGATGTCCTACCTTTCACCTCCAGTTTGCATTCGATCTCCACTGTCCCAAGGTCATTGACTGCTTTGCAGCAGTAAGTGCCCCCGTCATAGGGGCTGGGCTTGCGAATCTCCAGAGTACAGACCCCTTGGTTGCTGAACATCCTGTATCTTGGATCATCTGTAATAGCAACTTTGTTCTTCATCCAGGTAATTTTGGGCTGAAGATGGAAGCAAATTAGGTCAAAACATATCTGTACTAGGCCTGGGGTAACAGACCATCCAAGCCAGTGACAGAATGTTAAAATGTGGCTTAGAAAGAAAACACTACATCTAAGAATAATCTACATCAATTTAGGCACCGATTCTCTTCAAATTAAATTCTACTTAATGCTTGGCCAGGAAGCAAATGAGTAGTTTCTAAGAAACAGCCAGATTTGTCTAGAGGACAGCCCTGGGGTGATCTTCCCAAACAGATTCAATTACATTTAAATTCCATCTACATGTCTATGAGATTGACTCATCCAGGAGCATGTATATCCCTCAATGTTTTTCAAAGAACCCCTGTAAAGTGCCATCACCGGTCAATTTTCTTTACATTTTCCCCCAATATATTTTTCTAATTTTTTACAGGCGGCTTAACCCTCCTCACTATTTAATCTCTCTTCTGACCATCTGTTTTCATCATCTGGTGGCAATGGATGGACCTGCTCCAATCAGATAATCCCAGATCAATAATGATCCATTCACCTGGGAAGGCCACTCCATTCTGCTACACCAACACTAACTCTCCTTTCCATTCTCACACTGTCTTCTCTTCCTTCCTGTAAACACACACTCTTGCCTCTATCTCTTAAATGATTTTGTCTTGCTCAGACCCTAAGGATAGCACTTCCCAGTGTCCTCACTGTCCTTTTCCTCCTTCCACCTTTCAAATGGGCATATTCCCTGATGCTCACATCTTGGTCCTTGACATTTCATTTCACTTCTCTCTTTCTTCCGATACTCCTTTCTAGAGTTTCAGCTCCAAGGGGTGGGATGCAGCAATTCCATGCTTGGGGCACCCAAACCAAGAGTCACCACCCTCGCCTTTCTCCCAAGCTCTGGTGATGTTCTTCTCTCCTCCTGGCCACTCCTACTTGCATGTACCAACATCATCTCCAATTAAATATAGATTTAGCATCTTCTTTGCATCCTCAGTCTGGCTTCTCCCTTTGACTTCACTATTTCTGCTCTTGGTATGTGCTGGGAAAACATCACCACCTGCAATGTTTCCAAACTCTAGGGCACTTTCTGTCAGCGCCACCCAGGGATAGATAGCTCTGTGGGCAACATTCATTAATGTGTTGTTCTTTTCAAATGCCAACAACAGGTAACCTGTTCAGTCAGATGCCATCTCTCCTTCCCGGTGCTCTGTACCTTTATCACTGTACATTTTGTATTCTGCCTGGCATTACAGTATCATCATTTGCTTTAAACTATTACAGGAAACTTGATAAATCAGTATCACCACCTAATTTTTCAGATGACACAATATTACTTCCATCTCCTTACCTTTCAGTTCTTTTAAAAATAAGTGGTTTGCTTTTCCCTTAGAAAATATTCCTTAGTTAGTAAAGGAACATTTTTATACATTTAAATAGTGTCCTTTATTGCCCACCAACAAACATCATTACCCTACATGTCCCATCTCTATATCCCAGAAAACACACACACACACACACACACATTGAGCAGTTGGAAAGTCAGTTAATATTATTGTAGGGTTGGCCGAAATGTTCGTTTGGGTTTTGCCATAAGATGTCATGGAAAAACCTGAATAAACTTTTTGACAAACCCAATACTTACAATTATAACATAGCAAATATAAAAGATGGAGTTTGGAGTTAATTCTTAAATTTAATTAATGTGATTAAAGAAAAAAGTGGTACCTTAGGATTTCCTCTCACACTGCAGTTCAGGGTAGCATTGTAACCAGCTACAGCATAGGTGTTGACCAATGGCTGAGTAAACATAGGTGCCTCTGAGAAATCGAAGTCTTCATACACTGGATTTTTGTAGATTTTGCCTTAAAAACAAGCATTAAAAATAAGCAAGTTAAAAATAAAAATATTATTCTTGGCATATTTGACTATGATAAAAACTTCCTTCAGTTTAGTGTATGCTCACGCTCTCAGTCACTCAATTATGTCTGACTCTTTGCGATCCCAAGAACTGTAGCCCACCAGGCTCCTCTGTCCATGAAAGTTTCCAGGCAAGAATGCTGGAGTGGGTTTTTCTTTGCTATTGTAATATTTTTTGCTAATTAGATGTTTTAGTAATAATAATAATAATAATAAAGCATACAGGTGCGGGTTGCCATTTTCTTCTCCAGGGGAGTCTTCCCTACCAGGGATCGAACCCACGTCTCCTGAATCTCTGCATTGGCGATCGGATTCTTTTACCGCTGGGCAACCTGGGAAGCCCCTCTGAGCTTAGAAAAACATGTAAAAACGTGAACAAAGGTCACAGGGCATTCATCTGCAAAGGTACCAATTACAACCAACATCACATGGGCCAGAAAGCCAGAGAGCCATCTGGAACCAAAATAAATATTGGGAAGAATACAGTGTCTGGGTGTCTTGCTCAACAATGTGTTTTAACCTGAATGTGATGAGGAAGGGCTGGAAGGACTTGATTTATGAGGAAACGAAATGACAAGGGTGGAATCCAACTTCTTTCATTACAAAATGGCTCTCATCAGTAGCATCCTCGAAGGTGTCCAGGAATAGAATAACCCAAGCTCTAGAAGTAAATGGAGACTTTTTCCTATCCCTGTGATGTTAGTCATTGAGAGACCCACTGTCCAGATGTTGGAATGAATGAAATTATGTATGTTAAAAAATATAATCATAATACAGTTTTCCTTAAGATATTTTACTTGTAAGATTAAAATTTTAGTTGGACATTCTTACCACGGTTTTGAATGCATGTTTATGATTGCTTATTCATTTTGCCACATCTCTTTTTCTTTCTGTCTTCTCTGTCTCATCACTTAAAACTAAGGCTCACAGATGTCCAGCCCACTCCCAACTCACCATCCTTGGCAATCACGGCACTCTCTTTTGTCATTGTTGCATCTTCACTGAGGCCACACATGTTTTCAGCAAAGANATTCATTTTGCCACATCTCTTTTTCTTTCTGTCTTCTCTGTCTCATCACTTAAAACTAAGGTTCACAGATGTCCAGCCCACTCCCAACTCACCATCCTTGGCAATCACGGCACTCTCTTTTGTCATTGTTGCATCTTCACTGAGGCCACACATGTTTTCAGCAAAGACCCGGAAGTAATACTCGTTTCCAATGACCAGTTCAGTAATGGTGGCATTGGTTCGGTGATAATGCTCAATAACAGTGAACCACTCCTAAAAACAAACAAAGATAATTTAAGGAAAATCGCTTCAAAATACACAGCTATTTCAACTGTTAATTAGAATAAATAACAGGGATGTTTCATTAACTAAAAGGAAAAAAAAAAGCACTAATTTTTATATTGAGGGTAACAGAAATATATATTTAATACTTTATAATTGATTTATACCTGATTATATAATTTAATATTCATTTACACATTAGATTCATTTACCTGAGATGATGATGGAAGAAATTTTCACATAATGAGCTGTGGGGATGTCATTCTGGCTTATATGTGGTTTAACTTAAAGTTTATACTAACTAGAACAGCCTGTTTTGTGGCCTGTTAAACACACATTGTACATCTGCTTTAAACATTTAAAGAAAAGCATGTATTGCCTGGAAGTAAAGAGTGTCTTTTTTGAAAAGCCAGATAAATGCCTCCCTTCCTGGGCCATTAATGCTGGTATATGTTCCATGATAAAGCTCCCTTTCCAAGCACCAGAGTCATACTGATGCTAAATCACGAGAGAAAAGTTAACATCACCCAATCAATTTGTCTAATATCATTATCATAGGTTCTTTCAATTCTTTGTTCAATTATTAATTATTACCTCCTCCCTAACTGTTTACCTTCCCACCACTCCACTTTGGTCATAGTTTCTCACCTTGACCTGGCTTAGTTTTCTTCATAGCACTTGTTACCTTAAATATATCATGTATTTACTATTTTACTTGCTTTTTCACTACCTTCCCCATTGCAATGGATATACAGTGATGGTAAAAATGTACTTTTCTTCTCACCCCCCTGTATCTCCAGTGCCTTATCACAGCACCTGGTATAGAGTGGGTAGCATGCACAAAACTGAATACTTGAATGATTGAGTGACTTAAAGTTATGTTATTCTTTCTTTTTTTAAATTTTTCCTTCACCATGTCAAGAAATAAAGTAGCTTCAAAGTTTACCTTGCCACTAGTAGAAAACCACATTGTACTATATATATTTAGTGCCACTAATTGAGAAAATGCATTTCCTGACCAAAAAAGCTCTTAAAGGAAAAGGATTTTTCTTGCAAGGTTTAGGGCCTCTGATCTCTATTTTAAAGACACCTGGCAATTGTAGTTATGTCCTCCTTAACTTCCAAAGCACTTTATGCACACCTTTATCCAACATTTATTATATATATTTTTTAACATTTGGTTTATGCCTTTCTTCTTGCTTATACTATGAGTGCTCCAAGAGCATGAGTTGTCTATTTGTTTTTGATCCAGCAGCTAGAACAGCACTTAACAAATAGGAAATGAATAAATACATGAATGTGCTGGCATACATCATGAAAACAATGTTTGTGGAAGGTATAGAGGACTACAGGAACTTAAGTGAAAAACAGCATCTGTAGACACAGTGAGACAGTGGTGTGGTGAGCTCCTGGGAAGTGCGCTGGGCACAGTGAGCGTTTTCAGGTCTGCAGGCCTGCTGAAATGTGCCAGAAACACATTGGTGCGGTGTTGGGGTTCCTCCCCTGCCAGCAGGCAGAGCTAAGGCACGTGAAGCAGCAGCAGAATCCTGGCTCACCTGGACTTGACTAGATATCTAAGAAGACAGATGCTGGGCAGTGTGGTAGGGGTGGGGCACCTGGGGAAATGCGGTGCCCCTGGATTCACTACCAGTATCCAGACAAAGGGAAGAGCCCTTTTTGCTAAGGAAATCCAACAAATTCAATCCTTTCCTTGCAAAGTCACCCACTGACCTAGCTCTCAAGCTGTCTGGGTTTGGCTGAAAGATGTTTCTTTAAATGCCAAGTCTTATTTTGTCATGTAGCACCCACCCAGGAGTGTGGGGAAAGACAGGCTAGAAATAGTTTATGAAGAGGAAAGACTTGAAATCCATTCCTGTTACTTAGGCTGCTCTTTTCATCCCTCTCCCCTTCTGTTAATCCAGTGTAACCTTATAACCTAAGCTCTTACTGAGTTCTACTAGTATAAATGCCTAAAGACTTCCTGTCAAATTCATTCAGTACGATGTTCTACTCTTCCTGTAAGAATGGATAGTGGCTCCATGACATTCTGTGTAAAACATTCATTTATTCATTCACTGACTTACAGGCAGGGGGATGGTGGGTATAGTGGGTGTAGTGGATCAAATGTTAAGACCTAGGTTTTAACATTTAAAATCTAGTGATTTCCAGCAATTCATTTAACCTTTTGTGCCTTAATATCCTCATTTATAAAGCATAGGTAATAATAATTCATATTCCAGTTGATTTGCTTCTTGAATACTCTAAGCTCTTTTCTTCCTCAGGACCTTTGCATATGCTGTTCCCTTTAGAATCTTTCTTTTCTAACTGGTATCTTTTTTTTTTTTTGAGACATCAGTCTATGGTATCCAACAATTATTTTACAAATAGAAAGAAGTTGCATGGGTGCAAATTTGAGCCAGAATTCAGAGTGAGTAAATATTTGCTGAATGAACAAATTTAGTGAATTCTATTGAGCATTCTATTGTCTTAGCCTCTTGATAAACAAGCAAGGGAAACTTCACTGTCCTTATGTTACATTTGAGGGAAATGGAAATCAAAGAGGCCAAGTGACTGTCCATGTATATGTGGTCTTAGGTGGAAACTCAAGTCCAACTCTCCATGGCTCCTAAGGCCTTCCCACTGTGTCATGTCACTTCTCCATGACCTTCATGAGTCCTCACCAAAGAGGACTTCATGCCTCCCCCTAACTTCTGCTGAACTATGATTTCGCTGCTGCTGAACCAGAGGAAGCCCGAGCTTACCATGCTCTTCTTATCAGCCTTCTGGATCGTGTACCCTGTGATGGCAGTGTTTCCATCATCCCGTGGTGGGGTCCATGATAGAGCAACGTTCTCTCCCCAGACATCCTCGATCTTCACAAGCTGGGGTGGACCTGGACGGTCTGTAGGATAAATTCATGGTGTCACTGTGAGGTCACTTTCCCCCTAATCTAGACCTTGTTGTAGGAGGGTATTTAAAATGCCCTTTCCTTCCCATCCCAAAGAATAGCCAGGAGAGATAAGAAAGCCTTCCTCAGTGATCAGTGCAGAGAAATAGAAGAAAACAATAGAATGGGAAAGACTAGAGATCTCTTTGAGAAAATTAGAGATACCAATGGAGCATTTCATACAAAGATGGGCTCAATAAAGGACAGAAATGGTATGGACCTAACAGAAGCAGAAGATATTAAGAAGAGGTGGCAAGAATACACAAAAGAACTATACAAAAAAGATCTTGATGACCCAGATAACCATGATGGTGTGATCACTCACCTAGAGCCAGACA